AATCGAAAAAAAATCAGTTTCTTCCTTAGATTCTTGAGAAAATTTACATGTAAAATTAGTTTTTCTATCTCATCATGAATAAATATTGAACTCTCAGCAAAACCGAAAAGTTGATGTTTTGTGGTTTTTTGAGTCCAACTTCATGCCATGATAAATTTCAAAAAATATGTTAGCACGTGAATTTTCTTTGAAAAATAATAAAATTTGTAATTTTTTTTTAGTTTTTTGATATCTTTACTCAATAATTTCCTCGCGTTCATTTCTTCTAACTCTAAATTTGCGCGGATTCATTTTTTCATTTTTTTTTCTCTGAGGCAAATTTTGAATAAAAATGTGCGTACCATTTTTTTTTTGGACATTTTTTTTGTACCCAATCGCATCAATCTTTGATTTCATAAGGTTTCGTTTGAGAAAAAAATACGACTGTGCAAATTTGTAGTTAATTGCATACATGTTTAAGTTCAGAGAGCAGGAGCAAAACCTTCGAATTGTTAGAATTACATTGCATTCATATCCGTAATCAATCCAATACAATCCAAACAGGCTGAAGAGACGTAGAAATATTGCATCTGTAAAAAGGTAAATTACTGTTTAACAACGCTCTTGATTGACTCCTGATCGACTAGAAAATACTAGTGAAAAAATCCTTTGAAAAGCCACCTGTCTCTAGTCGAAAAAAGAATGACCGCATTATCAAATGAGCTGTAAACTCTGTCAACCATTTAAACAGCGGATGAACAAAAGAGACGATAAATTCTCTGGGCCTCACTTTACACTCATTGCGCATTATCTTGGCAATTGACAATTCGCCTTTTCGTTCACTCTGTAACTCTTTACTCCTATGGTAAAATCCGTAAAATCCCATAATCAAATATCAGTCTGACCGTGAAACATGGTGAACATTTATTTACCCTTTCACTCCTATGAAAATCCCATAAGATACTGTCAATCTTTCCGTGAAAAAACGGCGGCTACCATGGTGGAATAAAGAGATAAGACAAAGTCCACTAGATTTCATGCACAGATTGTCAGATGCTTACGAGATTTTACCATACGGGTAAAGAGTTGCACAGTCGCCGTCAACATCAATGCTTACTGAGCATGCAACCTTATATCTGCTTTTCTTTCACAAGGGCCAATGTCGCAAACGTAAACAATTTCTTTCTCGGAGATTTTCTCGAGAATTAAAACTCACTCAAGTAAACCACCACGATGATTGTGTAGAGCGAGAGTCCTCCTATCCGATAGAACTGGTGGCTTACATTGATTGACTTTGAACTACGAGAAATTTACGAAAGAAGCCACGTTTTCGACATTGGTCCTTATGAACGCTGAGTGTCGATGTCACGATAATTTTGTTTTGACAGATCGATGTCCAAGTATGCCAGTTATACCACTGAGGCAACACAAAAAAGGGGTCAACTTTGAAGTTCCACATATATTATGTGATGGCAGGGTAGGGGTTGTGAACACAAGGTTTGGAGAGCAATGTGCTCTTGATCTCGAACTAAGGGACACTCTGATGAAAAAGACAAACATGAGGGTACACCGATGGGCAGCTAACAACTTGGGAGAACACAAGATGACACTAACTACTAAATCCTCAGATCTATCCGTTTTAAAAACACATACATTAAATTCAAATAGTCGAGGTCTCGGCTCGCCAAGACATCTCTAACGGGTATCGCGGGTTGTTTTTCTCGGGCCCTGAGGGATGTGGATAACTCAGATCTGGCAACACGGTGTAGGGTACATGACCAAACAACATGCTCGATATCGTGATAACCACTGCCACACGCACATAAATTGCTGCCTGAGAGCCCAATTCGATAGAAGTGCGAGCCTAACGAGCAGTGATTGGACATAAGCCTTGATATAACGCGTATAAATTCGCGGCTCATGTCCAATCGTTTGAAACAAGGTTTTTTCGACACCTGTGGGAGAATAGAATGTAAGCATCTTCCCAAATCACCATCATTCCATTTTTGTTGCCAACTGATGACGACTTGCTGACGAGCAATGGGGAAAAATTCGTTGCAGGCAATTTGTTGCTCAAAAATATCGCCTTCCATAGCGCCCACCGTAGCCAACGAGTCCGCTTTCTCATTACCCGGAATTGAGTAATGAGATGGGACCCAAACTAAGGTGATAGTATAGGAGCAGTTAGATAAAGCACTCAGTTTAGATCGTATTTCAGGCAGGAAATACGAGGAGTGCTTCATCGGCCTCATTGAACGAATAGCCTCCACGAATAGCTAATAGCGAATTTGTTTATTATTCAGTTCCAACCTGGATCGGGTATCAAGATCGGCTCTGCTTGTTTTCTGACAAACGTCAGTTTGATCGTTTGTTTTTAAACCCTACCTCAGGTTCAGGTTCGCACTGACAAAAAGTTTGGTTTCGCACTGGGTTGGAACTGGTTCCAACCCCGATAATAAAAATTCGCTATAAGACTATCCGTAAAAATGAAATAATGACCAGAATGAAGTGAGGCAATTCGCTCTACTGCGTAAAATATGGCTGCGAGTTCCGCAACGTATACGGAGTATGGTTTTTGCAGTTTATAGGAGGCGCTATGAAATTGATTAAATACACCAAATCCAGTGGAAGTAGGGGAAATGACGGCTTCGGCATGACAGACTAGTTTCGGCAACCCAAATTGAAACACTATTTTCACTGGATTTTCTTACGAAAACACTTCGCTGAATGCATGCAAACGATTCTTTATGCTTTCAGCTTCAATTTGACTATATTTTTACCACTGAGAAAAAGCAATCTAGCAGGGTTTTCTTGAAATGAAACACACGCACTACAAATTGTAGCTGATTTCGAGTTGCCGATAATAGAACAGCAGATTTACATGCAGTTCAAATGGAACGGTTGCCGAAGAAAAACTGGTTGCCGACAATACTCGCTTTCACTAGAGAAAATTGGAGCTTTGTAAAAGCGTTTCAAAACAGTTTTTGACAATTCTTTTGACTGAAATTGTTAGAGCAGCTGGCAGCAAAAGATTGTAAACAAACCAATACTGCATATGTGTGCGTTCCATAGAGAAAAAGGTTATAGAAAGAAGGTCGCTGCTTAGGTTGCCGAGAATACGTAAATTCCCCTATTCTTTTAAGATTTTATGCAATTTTACTTTTAGCTCAAGACAAATGTCAGTATGTTTGCATTTTAAACAGATTCAAAACTGAAGAAAAAACAATTTGTGACATTTAACCTTGACAAATACATATTCTGCCATGGTCGATTACAGAAGTCCCAACCGTAGACATACTCAAGAGAACACTGACTAGAGAGGGAGGCAAAGATAAAGAAACAGAACTTTGACACAGCACATACATTAAGATTGCATCAGTAAATCTTTCAAGAAACACCAGATTAAACTAACACTGGCATTACCCAAATCAGCATTGCATACAAAATTGCTAAGCTAACGAGGGGATCAAGATGAGACACAAATTTAGAAAACGAAACACATAATTCTACCGCTGCAGCTGTTCGCTCTATCTACGGTGAATAATAAGCTGTGCAAAGGAGCCAATTTTGTCTCATCATGGTGCACCGTGCGATGGTGTCAAAAGTGTCTAACGCGAGCACCTGACACCGCGACTAACCGATGGCAAAATTTCGATAGATTCAACCGATTGTGATCGCGAAAACTGAAACAACTAGAAATTATCATCAGCTTCTAGCGCTAGTGGGGATTGTAGATGCAGTCTATATTTCTTTCTTTTTTCAAATTCGTTCGCATCAACCTTCTCCGATCGCATTCTCCAACGGCTGTTGCATAGCTTCACACAACTCTCTTTACTCTTCAAAATGCAACACTCAAAATTGTTTCTCCACTTGCAACATACGTATGAATATTGTATGCGCATATGAAAAAAAAAACAGAGACAGACAAGCGATTGACATGAAATGAGCTCGGGTGATTGTTATACCATAGTTTTCACTGTCGTAAATGGTGCTGTTATAAAGCGTTATGACGTTGCCACAACCTTTTATCGGTCAGAATTGTTTCGAATTGATTTTCCGATTCGCACGATGTGTTCAAAAAAAATATTTTGGCTATTTATAGATTTGATACATAGATCTTATGGACGTCCATAAACGTACTAACGATCATGATTGAAGATTTGTTTTGAACGAGGTTTCGGATGGTTTCGATTTGGCTATTTTTGCATCGTTAATTGGAAAAATGATTCACTTATGTCACGACAATATGAGTGATGAACGCGGACCGGTCAGTGCCAGATGATGATGATGATGATGAGTTGAAAGATTTGACCTCGTTTGAATATGAAGCTGCTCCACCGCGTATACGGCTTGTAAGTTTGAACATGGACAGTATCTTCATTGATGCGTAAATTTGTAGCAATTAATGTGGATGTGATCGTTTTTTAATCAGGAAAATATGGGAAGTTTGTAGCATTACCGTGGATTCTACAAACGATGATTATGTTGAATATCGGTTTTGACGATTCCATTTGTACAATATTTAAATCTAATCACAACAAAACAAACAAAAAAAAAACACTCAAAATAAAACGATAAATCAATTCTGTGTACAAACCTGCTGAAATAATTAATCATTAACTCGATAAAGAAGCGCAAACCGGAGCGTACGACTGAACCCACATGTTGTCATCAACCCACGTGATTCTCCTTAAGTCGAGTGTATGATGATATCATCCTTTCCCTCTCGTTAGTATATATATACCAAGAACTGTCACGTCATTAGCAATCATTAAAACGACTACCCGTTTCTGTTGCAATTTCACGACCCACCAAACCCACCATCGGGGAAACGATGAATGTGATTCATTTGCTCTTTCGTTCTTTCCCCAAAACAAAACACGCATGCATTACTAAAAGACTAAATTTACAGCCCAAAGGGAACAGACCCGTAGCGCGGGAAAGGAAAATGATGTTACTCAGTCAGTGTAGAGAAAAAATAGTTCCCGGGAAAACACGCAAACAAAACACCACCCACTCACCTTATGGTTTAAGTCTTGCACGTCCTCCAAACTTACATCGCTATACATGTCTTCTGCTGTATCACAGTTTGAGCTGCGCCCGGACGAGTTGAAACTCGATGATCGGTAGAGGTGACTGTTCGAAAAGAATAAAAGGAAACAAGCAAATTATAGCAACGGTATACCTTCAGGGGTTGAAATGTGAAACGTTTCCATCGAAGCACCGTACACACGATGAAACAAGTTGCGCTATAAAATTTTCTTTATAAAAAAAATGCATAGGTTCACACGCGATACATGTTTCACTGAACAGGTGTGATGCATCACATTCAATATTTAATCGCAACATATTGTTCAATAATCTTCCTGCATCGTGTCACAGTGGTTCCCCTTAGAACAAAAGTTGGCCAAAACCTCAAAATTGTTGCAAATAGGCACAGTTGAAATAGATGTTTTTTAGCTGTACGAAGAAAACTTGACAATCATGACGTCACAAAAAGGAGTATAGTAGAATCAAAACCAATGCACAATGCGCCCAAACCGTCAGTTTTAGGAATATGATTTCTTACGGAAAGTTGCTTCATATTTTTTGTTCAATCTATATGTTCGTAAAATTAGGGTGGTCCATAAAATTAGTGAATTAAAAATACAACCTTTTTTATTATTTGAGATAGACCAAAGCAGTGTTCTAAAAAGTTGTAGAACAATCAATTGTTGAAGACACAACGTTTTTATCTCTTATGGTTCATGAGTTATGATTTTTGTTAAACAAGCAGGTTAGGGTGGCCACTAAAATCGGTTTTCTTTGAATATCTTTTCATGCGTAATTTCTCGTAAAAACATTGTTCTGATTACATTTAGAACTTTTGATGATGCATATTTTTTCTCAAGCAACTAGGTTACTATCTTTTTTGATTAGAAAGTTAAAGGCTATTTTCTTCGAAAAAATGGCTATTTTCAATTGTCAATATCTCAAAATGGAGCAAACCGATTTTCAAACATTTAATTTCATTGAAAAAATCGTTTTTCTTCACTTTTGGTAAAAAAAAGTGCAAGAGCTTTTTCTGTGTAAGGCATTTAATTTAATTTAAAAAACTAATATTTTTCAGCAAAAACTAGCCATAACTTTTCAAATAAAAGAGATAACAACTTAGCAAAAAATATGCGTCATAAAATGTTCTTAAAGGGCCTTGCATAAAAATTTCACGAGAAATGAACGTATAAAAAGATATTTTAAGAATGCCGATTGTCTAGGGGCCACTAGATACATGGTGCGTTAGACTGATGCAAAATTTGAAAATTTCACTCCACAGTGCTCAAACGGTTCCAAATTGGGTTCTGAGTAGCCTCCCAAAATTTGAAATCATTTAGTGAGAAACTGATTTGGCACAAACCATTTGAAGTTTATATGGGAATTACTATGGAGAAACCATAATGTCGGTTCATATCTATCTCAAAACTCACCAGTTCTTTCTACTTTAGAAAATGATAGCTGAGCTTGTTGAAAATTTTATCAGCTGCAACTTTGTTGAAGACCACTTTTCGATCAAATGTAAGGAACAAAAATTATTAATGATTCAAGTCACTGATGTCTACTATGTCACACTACAGAATACAGTGTTGCCCACAATACAGTTGCCTAATTTTGCCATAAGATTATCAATCTCAGAAACAATTAATAACTATTTAATTTGACGTTTGGCTGAAAAACGATTTTCTGCAAAGTTGTATCTGATAAATATTCCCATGAAAATAGTAATAAAACTTGTTAACAGTACAATATGGAAAAAGGCTAGAAAACAATGAACAAAAAGTTTGGTTTTCCCATAGTAATTTCCATATAAACTTCAAATGGTTTGTGCCAAGTAAGTTTCTTATCAAATGAGTTTAAACTTTCGGAGGCTAATAAAGATCCGATTTGAAACCGTTTGAACACTGTGAAGCGAACATTTCAAATTTTGCATCAGTCTAATGGTGCGTGTGTGTATTAGACTGATGCAAATTTTGACATGGTAATTTATGGAAATTACTATGGGAAAACCAAATGTTTTGTTCATATCCATCTAACAATTTACCATATCGCTCTGCTTTAAAAAAAATGATAACTGAGCTCGCAGCAAATTTTCTCAGCTACAACTTTGTCCAAAACCACTTTTCAATATAATGTAAGCATCAAAAGTTTTCAATAATTCAAGCCACTAATGTCTTATGATTAAACTCAATCAACTGTTCAGCAGGCAACATTGGTGTTTCTGGCGCTTAGAATACAGTACAAAAATCATGGCTACTATGTCACACTGCAAGATTCAGTGTTGCTCACAAAACAGCTGCTTGATCATGCCATAAGATTATCAATCTCTTAAACAATAAATAACAATTTTATTTGACGTTTGGCTCAAACACTATATTCTGCTAAGTTGTAGCTGAGAAAATTTTCCATAAGTATAGCTATTGAATTTTTTAACAGTGCAATATGGAAAAAGGTAAGAAGACAATGAACAAAAAGTTTGGATTTCCCATAGTTATTTCCATATAAACTTCAAATGGTTTGTGCAAAGTTAGTTTCTTATCAAAGGAGTTCAAATATTGGGAGACTTATCAGGACCCGATTTGGAACCGTTTGAGCACTGTGGAGCGAAAATGTCAAAATTTGCATCAGTCTAGTGTGTATGTGTGTGCGTGTTGGTGTGCTTTGAAAAAGGCATGGTGAAATTTGCTACATTAAACACCACAGATTATATAACTTAGAAACGGATATTTTCCAAAGAACACTTTACTTGTTATTCCTAATTTCAAAATCTTCCGCAAAAAATCGCAAAATACATTGAAGACTATCTGAAAGCTAACTTTTCTAGCTATATTTTGGTAACTAAATGATAGTGGGCGGATGTGTCTGTCATATGTTTTGATTAGTCTAAATTTGAAAAAAAAAAAGTATATTTTTGCTAATTTTTTATTAGAAACTGTCACTTAAAACAGTGTAGACACTCTTTTCAATCCTCCATTCGACGTGAAATAAGCCGAAGAACATTTCTTGTTAGGCAACCAAGTTGATAAACACATTATTTTTTGCTATATTTGAGCAAAACAGCAACAAGAAACATTACGATTTTTTCAAAAATTTGTGATATCGCTACACTATAACAACCATAAAAAAATTAATCAACAGAACTGCACAAATCATTCAATTTAAGATACTCTTAACATGTAAAAATGATAAAAAATATCAACTTTAATTTTTGATGTTTTGGCCACCCGGGAACCACTGTACGTGTGTGCAGCAAAGAAATCCGGTACAAACCTGTAGTAATAACTAAAGAGAGTTGCCGCAACTTCAAATCATCTCTTTTATCTGCAAAGAGGAATATCCATAATGAAGACCAATTTTGTAGCCAGTTAGGATTTTTAGTGAATTCTCATATGAGCAACAATTTATTGTAGCGTCACAATGTTTTTTTTTGAGCGAATACTCACGAAGAGATCCATGTTGAATACAGTAATGACCCGATTTTGCCTTATTCAAATTAGAAACAAAAATGTTTTCTAATGTTATGTATTCGCAAAAATGTTGCGACTTAATATGTCACTCCAACAAATCGCATCTTACGCTTCAATAGTTCGTTTGCAAGTTTATGGCAAGATACTAATTACATGGTGTGTACAGGGCATAACATATCATTATGGCAAACTACAACCAGTTTTATAGCAAAATACTACATGGTGTATGAACCAACTACACCCAACTGTGCGAATTATGGCAGTGCATCATTTCTTGCATACTCCAGCACACTGAAAACGAAACTTACTCAGAGAGTGAGTAGCTTTTACTCATTCGTATGGAGACATTTATAAAAGCGTAGACAGTCAACCACATATAGATGCACCATAGCTACCATGATTTTGATTGTTTAATCAATCTGACACTTTTGGACATACTAACAGCGGTAAAACTGACGCAGGTACGACAGAACAAAACAGCTTACTCTTTCCAACCTGCATCGCAGTGCTGAATGCTAGAAAAAGTAGTCTGTTGCAGTCATCCTCACCCACCATATTCATCACATTGATGTGAGCTCCGCCAAAATTCAATTTACCCCCGTGAGCGTAGGACTAAGCTTTTAGAAATTTATCCATTCGAATGAGTAAAAGTTAATCACTATCTGAGTAAGATTAGCTTTCAGTACAATTCCACATTCCAGAGAGAGAAACTTCTACGCAGATGAAAGAGAAATGTCTGAAAACGTAGGCTACTCAGCGCTGAGTAAAATTGAACGACCGTGAAAGCTGGAAATTATAGCATTTCTATGGCACAAAACAGAGCACACAGCAGCGAAAAATCGAAGAAAAATGCAACCGATGCAAATTATGCAATTAGCAACAGGAAGACAACATTATCGATCGCCGAAAGAAACGCGTAGATAAGTAATCCTTCCTGCTTTGGCGGTGACAGTTGTTTTTCCAGTAGTTAAGCGGGCAAGATGGTTTCCCTCCAGTGAAGACCGGTCATCGTCACGGTTTTAGTTCGTTATTTTTGTTTTCATTTTTTTGACATTTTGAGCAAACCAATCACGTTAAAAAAAGGTGCTAATTGAGCAACTACTTTACAGTAAAGTTACGAGTGACTTTCTATTTTTGGAACGACTTCATCGGGATTAAAAGATATGCGAGTTTTGTTTCATTTACGTGCCCATTGGTGTTGGTAGGTACACTCCTACCAAACTAGAGAGCGTTGTAGGCCTTTCATCTCCAGATCCAGTCAGATGGGCCGTTGTTGTGTCGAAGGTCGACAACTTGTTACTTGAAACAGTTTGCTATACAGTCGTCATAGTAAAAACCGCAAGCCTATACGATCGTACGCTCGTACTCATATGGGATATTGCGGGTCCGCTGCGAGTGCGAATAACTTTACCGTCAACTGAGTGGGTCAGATTTTCAGCAGGGCGATCAGTCCTTATAATGTCTAAATATGTACAATGGTGGCCTTAGCACAATAGGCCGATTTTTGTACAAACTAGCCAACTTTGGCATGTTGCAACTTTGTTTTGTTATGATCAATTGAGCTAAAATTTTGACACAGAACTACAAATATGCTGAATTTTGCGTGTACGTAATATCAATTTATTGGAAGCACTTGCC